GTTGTTTGGCGGGTCCGGGCTGGGGATTCGAACCCGCCACCTTAGGTGTACGTGGCTGGTGCCTTAGCCGGTTGAGCTATAGGCGCCGAGCCCGTAAGATTTTTCTTGATGAGGGAACAATGAATTTAGATTTGGGTGCAAACTCCTTATCTCATTGGAGATCAGCACTGGCAGTGAGCTCATCTGTACCAAAGAAGTTAATATTTTAATTATATCAGATATACAGCATATTGATGCAGGGGAGTGGGGAGTAGAGTGATTGGCAGGGATGTTATGATGCGAGTGAGTATAAGAGGACTTTCATCATTTCTGGCTTTCTGGCATCTGAATTTGTGTTCTGTTTTTCTGGAATTCTTTTCTTCATGACTTGTGGTGAGAAGCAGAACCTGTTTGTTATTATAGCACATACTTGTTTTGCCAGCCTCCCTCATTTATTGATTTATTATTGATTGGGGAGGCAGGGTCTTACCCCTTGCCCAAGCTGGAACACTGGGGTACAATCATAGCTCATTGCGACCTTCAACGCTTGGGCTCAAGTGATCTTCCTTCCTGAGCCTCCCATGTAGCTGGGTCTATACGTACATACCACCATATCTGGCTAATTATTTTATTTTTTATTTTATTATATTTATTTTTTTATGAGACAGGATCTTGCTGTATTGCCCAGGCTGGTCTTGAGCTTCTGGCCTTGAGTGATCCTTCCGTTTCAGCCTTCCAAAGTGCTGGGGTTACTGGCATGAAGCACCACAGCTGGCCCAGCCTCTCTTTTGCTACATATGAACTTTAGACTTGGTCAAGCAAATGTCCTAGTATGACAGCAACGCAGGAGCTGGTGACACAGAAAAGGAGGAATTGAGTGGACCCTGGTCTGTCGTGAGTGGCAGCAGCAGTTGCGGTGGTGTTTTCCTAGGGCCAATTCTGCTGGCCTTTTGGAGGTCTTTCCCAGCTGGGTAGCCTATAAATTGAATTCTCTGAAGATGGTTTTCCATCAGATATCTTTTCATAAATGTGTTTTTTACTTAAATTAGCCAAAGTAGATTTTTTTACCTTCCGGCTAAGAACTCTGACTTGAGAAAAAGAAAAAAACAAACTTGTATTGTTAAAGTTATTTTAAGCAAGCTGATTGATCAGAAGCAAACCTTGTTTTCTCTTAATTTATGTGTGAAGTTTTAAAATGTTTTAGGCATACTTTGTAAGATATGTAGACAGTACAGATTCTAAATAATAATTATTTCATTCTAGTGTTTGCATTTTAAATTTTCAGTGTGCTTTATGGACCATGTGCTGCTATGTATGCCTGAAGTACTTGAAATGCAAATGTGGGGAGACTTTGCCATCTAAATGCTTGGCTGGATTAAGCGCCTAATTAGGATGGTTTTTCAGCAAGTTGGAGTAAGCATGCAATCGGTGAGTGCTCAAAATTCATTTTTAAATTCTAGACATTTAGATATTTTAAGAATTTTTTCTGAGAAAATGAAATCTATATCGACTAACATCTTGAAGTCAATATGTTTATGTACACTTTACTTTGCTTACTATTTAAATCATAGAAGTGAATCTTAGCATCCTAAGCAAAGAATTAACTTCCTGGATTTTATTCAAAACACCAATATTTGTGTGACTTTAAAGCTAATGTATTTGTTATTAGTGAAGAAAAGCTCAATAATATAGAGAAATCATTTAATAAAATATGGTGGACTAACACTTAACAACTCTGAATGTTATAGAATTAATATTGAATGCTGTTTTTTTTTATTAAATGACAGCTGTGCACATTATGAATGCTGTTATAATATAGATTATTATGTAATTAAAGTAAATGGCAAGTCATGTTTCCTAAAATATAACACTATAGATAAGAAGAAAAATTTAGTATACAATTGTTCAACGCCAGAGATACTAATTTTGATCTTGACATTTTTATCAGTATTTTCTGTTTCTACATAAAGTTTGGTCAGATCTGCTGTAAACTATTAGAGGAATTGTACCAAACATGTTTTGTAGAATACTTGTTTTTCATTTTCAAATTCAGTGTTTTGGTGGCTATGACATGAAATTAAGTTGTATTTATTAAGGGTATTAGGCAGGTTATGTAATTTGAATATAGGCATACTCTTTAATGTGCTACTTTCACTTTTTTTGTGTTTGTCTAATTAGGACTTTGAATCTTCCCATTCCACAAGGTTACATATGTTTTCTTTGGAGATAAAATGCAGAGAGCTAAATGAAAATATCTTCTTTATAGCTGCATAATTTTGCTTGGCTTGACAATAAGCAGTAGAAAAATGACTTATAAAGTTTCTGGTGTTTTCATCTTTTTCAGACAATTGTTTCTAAACTTCCACTTACTTCAGTTGGACCACCTTTCTCATTTGGTATTTACCAACATGTGGCTACGTAGGGTAGACTACCGTTTTAATGCTGACAACAAAGAGTTTCTTTTTCTCTTTCTTTCAGAAAGAAAGGAAACTTTTGCTATTTATGATTCCCTAAAAGCGAAGCTTTATGATTTCTGTTGATTGAGATTTTATTTTATTTTACTTTTTCTTTTTTGAGACAGAGTTTCACTTTATTGCCCTTGGTAGAATGCCATGGCGTCACACAGCTCACAGCAACCTCCAACTCCTGGCTTTAGGTGATTCTCTTGCCTCAGCCTCCTGAGTAGCTGGGAATACAGGCACCCACCACAATACCCAGCTGCTTTTTTGTTGTTGTTGTTTCAGTTTGGCCGGGGCTGTGTTTGAACCCGCCACCCTAGGTATATGGGGCTGTTGCCCTACTCACTGAGCCACAGGTGCCTCCCTGATTGAGATTTAGTTTAGTTGTGATGTTATGGGTCCTGGATTTAAATAACTTTGGATCTGAAATTTGTCTCTGCCAATTATTCTCTTCATCTATAGAATAGGGATAAGAACTGCTAGTGCAAACCCTCCCCACCTTGCCTCCCCCCCAAAACCCTTCTGCTGCACGGTTAGCCTGTGGATTAGGTGATAGTGTATCACAGCACCTAGCACCCTGCCTTGTGTATATGTAGGTACACTCAATAATGGATAGTTTGGTTTTTTTTTTTTTGAGAGACACAGTCTCACTTTGTTACCCTTGGTAGAGCGCTGTGGCATCATAGCTCACAGCAACCTCCAGCTCTTGGGCTTAGGTGATTCTCTTGCCTCAGTCTCCCGAGTAGTTGGGACTACAGGTGCCCACCGCAACGCCTGGCTATTTTCTTGTTGCAGTTTGGCCTGGCTGGGTTTGAACCCACCACCCTCGGTATATGGGGCTGGCGCCCTGCTCACTGAGCCACAGGCGCTGCCCCATAATGGGTAGTTTTAATGGTTGGTTTCCTGTGTTTTTGCTCTGCCACTAGCAACCCCTTACCTCAGGTGAGGTTAATGTGAATACTTATTGCTCCTTGAGGCCAAAGGGCAGAATTCTGTTTCAGGCTTAGATCACCCACTTTCTGGCTTGTTAATTTATTTAGATTTATTAATTTTAAGCTGTGAAATGGGTACCTTTCTTCAGGGACTGGACCAGTTAAGAGGAATTAACTTGCTCAAAATACTGTAATCACTACTAATGGTAGATGAGCAGGATTTTTGGGTTTTTTTACCTTTTTTTTTGTAGAGACAGAGTGTCACTGTATTGCCCTCGGTAGAGTGCCATGGCAGCATCATACAGCTCACTGCAACCTCCAACTCCTGGGCTTAGGCGATTCTCTTGCCTCAGCCTCCCGAGTATCTGGGACTACAGGTGCCTGCCACAACACTCGGCTATTTTTTTGTTGCGGTTTGGCCAGGGCTTGGTTTGAACCCACCACCCTTGGTATATGGGGTCGGCGCCCTACTCACTGAGCCACAGGCGCCACCCTTGTTATTTTTTTTTTTTTAATGAGGCTAATACACGCGTATAATCATCAGCTTTAATTAGCTGAAAATCTGTGTACGTATAAGTTTTCTTCTAACATAAAACAATCTAATTTGGGGGGATTATTTTCTGTTTTAACTTCTAAAATTTTTTAGCTTACTGCCTAAGAGTAAAAATAGAGATGTAGTCTATCAATATTTTATCTTTGGGTACCTGAAAACAAAGGAAATGTTCTATGGTATAACACATACAGGTATACTTCGGAGAGATCTTGGGTTCAACTTTAGACTATTGCATAAAGCATATATTTCAGTAAAATGAGTCACATGAAGTTTTTGGTTTTCTAGTGCATATGAAGTTATGTTTTTACTGTACTGCAGTCTGTGAAGTGCACAATAGCATTATCTATCATTAACAAAACAATATATATGCTTTAATTAAAAATACTGTTTTGGGCCAGATGTGGTGGCTTACCCCTGTAACCTTAGAACTCTGGGAGGCTGAGATGGGCAGATTGCTTGAGCTCAGGAGTTCGAGACCAGCCTGACCAAGAGTGGGACCCCATCACTACTAAAAGTAGAAAAATTAGCCAGGCATTGTGGTGGGCATCTATAGTCCCAGCTACTTGGGAAGCTGAGGCAGGAGGATCGCTTGAGCCCAGAAGTTTGAAGTTTCTGGGAACTATGATGATGCAGCACTTGACCCAGGGTAACTGAGTGAGACTGTTTCAAAAAAGAAGAAACACTATTTAGCTTAAAAAATACCAATGATATGAGCCTTCACAAAGTTCTGATCTTTTTATTTTTTAGTTTATTTTTATTTTATTTATTTATTTTTTTTGAGACAGAGCCTCAAGCTGAGCCCCTGGGTGGAGTGCCATGGCTTCACTGCTCACAGCAACCTCCAACTCCTGGGCTCAAGTGAGTCTTCTGCCTCTGCCTCCCAAGTAGCCGGGACCACAGGCGGCCGCCACAACGCCTGGCTATTTTTTGGTTGCAGCCGTCATTGTTGTTTGGTGGGTCTGGGCTGTATTCGAACCTGCCACCTTAGGTGTATGTGGCTGGTGCCTTAGCCGCTTGAGCCACAGGCGCCGAGCCTTATTTTTATTTTTTAATTTCAGTGAGACCAGAGTCTCACTTTGTCACCCTTGGTAGAGTGCCATGGCATCACAGCTCACAGCAACCTCTAGCTCTTGGGCTTAGGTGATTCTCTGCCTCAGCCTCCTGAGAAGCTGGGACTACAGGCAAGTTGTAATCTTTTTAATCATACTTCAGTGATGGCTGCTGACTGATCAGGGTGGTGATTGCTGATGGTTGGGTTTGCTATGGCAATTCCTAAAAATAAGACAATAATAGGCTAGGTGCCTGTAGCACAGTGGTTAGGGTGCCAGCCACATACAGCAAGGCTGGTGGGTTTGAAGACAGTCTGGGTCTGCTAAACAACAATGACAACAAAAAAATAGCCAGGTGTCATGGCAGGCACCTGTAGTCCCAGGTACTTGGGAGGCTGAGGCAAGGAAATCACTTGAAGCAAGAGTTTGAGGTTGCTGTAACCTGTGATGCAGTGGCACTCTACCAAGAGTGACTTAATGAGACTCTGTCTCAATTAATAAATAAAATTAAAAAAAGACAATGAAGTTTGCTGCATCTGTTGACTTTTCCTTTAACAAAAAATTTCTATGTAATGTGATATTATATGATGGCATCTTTTCCACAGTACAACTTCTTTCAAAATAGGAGTCATTTCTTTCGAACGCTTATGCTGCCTTATCAGCTAAGTTTATGGAATATTCTAAATCCTTTGTTGCCATTTCAACAGTTTTTATAGCGTCTTCAGCAAGAGTTGATTATATTCAAGAAACCACTTTCTTTGCTTATCCATAAGAAGCACATGTTTGTTCATTTAAGTTTAATCATGAGACTGCAGCAATTCAGTCACATCTTCAGGCTCCACTTCTATTTCTCTTACTGTTTCTACCTATCTAAAGGGACTTCAGAGTGCTCCAGGAGGATTAGAATCAGTTTCTTCCAAATTCCTGTTCATATGAGTACTTGACCTCCTCTCATGAATCAAAAATGTTCTGCATGGTATCTGGAATAGTGAATTCTTTCCAGAAGTTTCTTATCTTACGTTGCCCAGATCCATAAGTAGAATCACTCTCCATGGCAGCTATATTTTTACAAAATGAATTCCTTTTTTCTTTTTTTTCCTTTGAGACAGAGTCTCACTATGTTGCCCTGGGTAGAGTGCCATAACATCATAGCTCACAGCAACCTCAAACTCTAGGGCTTGAGTGATTCTCTTGCCTCAGCCTCCCAAGTAGCTGGGACTACAGGTGCTCGCCATAATGCCCAGCTATTTTTTTGTTATAGTTATTGTTGTCTGAGAGGTCCAGGTTGGGTTCGAACCTGCCAGCCTTAGTGTATGTGGCCGGCGCCCTAATTGCTGAGCTGTGGGTGCCAAGACCAAAATGAATTTCTTAAATAAGAAAATTTGAAAGTTGAAATTACTCCTTCAGGTTCGGCGCCTGTGGCTCAAGTGGTTGA